GTGATAGACATTGGGGAGGGTATGTGCCATGGTGAGCACTGTGAATTGTGTAAGACTGATGAATCACAGACCTGTACCTCTGAAACAAATAATACTGTATATGTTAAAAAAAAAAGAAGAAGAAGAAGATAGTAGGAAGGGAAAAATGAAGTGGGGGGAATCGGAGGGGGAGATGAACCATGAGAGACTATGGACTCTGAGAAACAAACTGAGGGTTCTAGAGGGGAGGGGGGGGTGGAGGAATGGGTTAGCCTGGTGATGGGTATTAAAGAGGGCATGTACTGAATGGAACACTGGGTGTTACACGCAAATAATGAATCGTGGAACACTACATCAAAAACTAATGATGTAATGTATGGTGATTAACATAACATAATAAAAAAAAGAATTTATTTTTTTATTTGTGAGAGAGAGCGCATGAGAGAGAGAGCGAGGGCACAAGCAGTCGGGAAGAGTAGAGGGAGAAGCAGGCTCCCCATGGAGCAGGGAGCCCTACATGGGGCTCGATCCCAGGAATCCGGGATCATGACCTGAGCTGACGGCAGACGCTTAACCAACTGAGCCACCCAGGTGCTGCTACACATCTTTTTTCAGATTGATCCCTATGTAATTCATATTTTGGTACTATTTTTTTTTTTAAAGATTTTATTTATTTATTTGAGAGAGAGAATGAGATAGAACATGAGAGGGGGGAGAGTCAGAATGAGATAGAACATGAGAGGGGGGAGGGTCAGAGGGAGAAGCAGACTCCCTGCTGAGCAGGGAGCCCGATGCGGGACTCAATCCCGGGACTCCAGGATCATGACCTGAGCCGAAGGCAGTCGCTTAACCAACTGAGCCACCCAGGCGCCCCATATTTTGGTACTATTATAAGTGTTTCATTTGTTTTTTTTTTTTTTTAGTAAGTGATTCATTTGTAATTTCAATTTCTGATTATTAATTGCTAATGTATAGAATTATAATTGATTTTTAAAATATATTGATTTCATATCCTGTGACCTTGCTGAACTTATTTTTTTAAGCAGTTTTTTCCCATTTAGAATCTTTAGACTTTTCTCTGTACACAGTCATGGCATCTGAAGATAGGAGCAGTCTTCTCTCTTCCTTCCAATCTGTATGCCTTTTATTTATTTTTCTTGCCTTTTGCACTACGTAGACTCTCCAGTACCAGGTTGAAAAAAAGTGGCGAAAGCTGATATCTTTGCCTTGTCTGTCTTAGGGGAAAAGTATTTATTCTGTCATCCTTAAGTATAACCGTGGCTGTAGGTGTTTCACAGATGCCCTTTATCAGGTTGAGGAAGTTCCTTTTTAGTCCATGTTTGCTGAAAAAGCTTCTTAAAGATTTTTATTTATTTATTTACTTTAAAGGGGGTGGGGGAGAGGGAGCCAGCGTGTGAGCAGGGGCGGGGAGGAGCATGGGGGTAGGAGAGGGAAGGAAAGAATCCCAAGCTGACTCTGCGCTGAGCATAGAGCTCAATGTGGGGCTTAAGCTTATGACCCCGAGATCATGACTTGAGTTGAAACCAAGAGTCTAACGCTTAAGTGACTGAGCCACCCAGGTGCCCCTGAAAAATCTTTTTAAAGTCAAAGATGAATGTTGGATTTTTTTCAAATCCTTTTTTGCATCGAATGAGATGATCATATGAGTTGTGCTTTTTAGTTTGCTAATATGGTGAATTCCAGTAGTCCCTCCTTATCCACAGTTCCACTTTCCACCTTTTCAGTTACCCACGGCCCAACACAGCCCAGCACAGTAGATGGTCCTCCTACTGATGTAGCATCACAAGGTCACATGTCTGTGTCATTCCCCTCACTTCATCTCATCACATAGGCATTTATCACATCATCACAAAAAGGATGAGTACAGTACAGTAAGATGTTTAGAGAGAGAGAGAGCATATTCACATACTTTTATTACAGTATATTGTTATAATTGTTCTATTTTATTATTTGTTATTAATCTTTTACTGTGTCCTTTATTATACATAACATATAGGAAAAAACGTAGTTTATATAGGGTTTGGTACTATCTGTGGTTTCAGGCATCCACTGGGGGTCCTGGAACATATCCCCCATGGATAAGGGGCGACTACTGTACCTTGATTGATTTTTGAATTGAACATTAAACCAGCCTTGCATCCCTAGGATAAACCTCACTTGATCATGATATATTATCTTTTTTATATGTTGCAAAATTCAGTTTGTTAGTTTTGTTTAGAATTTTTGCATTGACGTTCATGAGGGATATTGATTATGTGATTTTGTTTTCTAATACCTTTGTTTGGTTTTGATATCAGGGTAATGCTGGCCTCTTAGAAGGAGTCTTCTATTTTCTGGAACAATTTTTGTAGAATTGTGTATTATTTCTTCCTTAAATGTTTGGTAGAATTCATCAGTGAAGCCATCTGGGCTCTGTGGGAAGGTTGTGAACTACAAAAATAGAGCAATTCAGATAAAAGGCTATCTAATTTCCTCAATAGATTCAAGGAAATGTCTTTATTAGATATAAGGCTGTGATCTTTTTCTTCTTGAGTAAGCTCAGTGGCTTTGGTTTTATAAGGAATTTGTGATTTCATCTCAGTTGTTTCGTTTATTGACAGAGTTCATAATATTCTCCTATTATCCTTTAATAATGATAGGATGTGCACACTCTTCTTCCTGTTATTGAAATTTTGTGTCTTCTCTCTCTTTGTCCTCATCAGTCTACAAAAAGAGTTATCATTTTTCTTGATCTCAAAAACCAGCTTTTGGTCTCATTGATTTTTTTTCTGTTTTCTATTTCCTTAATTTCCAGTCTGGTCCTTATTATTTCCTTTTTTTTCTACTTCTTTAGGTTTAATTTGCTCTTTCTTTTCTAGTTTCATATGGTATAGCTGAGATCATGATTTCAGACCGTGGATAGACAGTGGAATGGATAAATACATTATGGTATATAAGGACTTGCCTATAGGGTACAGGTAACGTTCTCTTCTCTGGCCTGTGTGATGTTTACATGACTGTTCTTATTAAATTCTACATATGTATTTTATGTCTTACATATGGGATAGGTCTCACTATTTTTAAAAATTAGGTTGTAAGGGGTGCCTGGGTGGCTCAGTCGTTAAGTGTCTGCCTTTGGCTCGGGTTGTGATCCCAGGGTCCTGGGGTTGAGCCCCGCGTCGGGCTCCTTGCTCGGCGGGGAGCCTGCTTCTCCCTCTCCCACTCCCCCTGCTTGTGTTCCATCTGTGTGTCTCTCTGTCAGAAAAATAAATAAAAAATAAATAAAAAATAAATAAAAAATAAATAAAATCTTTAAAACAAATTAGGTTGTAAAATAATTTATGTGCACCATCTTACTAATTTCAGAATCTCTAGGAGATGGAGACTTTTCTAGGAAAAAAATTAAGTAACATTAACACACCTACTGATTTCCGCCCTCATCAGAAGTCTTATGGTAGTATTTTCAATATCTCAGAAGTTTATAAGAAAATGACTAGGATCTGGTTCACATTATACAAATTCAACTAGAAAATAGTTTATTTCTCATGAATGATGAATTAACTCTGAAGAAATAAGATTTCAAAAATATTGTTACTATTTTCAAAATTAACTAACTCTTTGATCTGTGGTACAATAAAGTTAAATAATATATACTTCAGTTTTGTAGCTAGAAGGATCCTTAGGAGCAGTGGTATGATGGCAATTCACAATGGCAAGCAAGAGCTGACTGTGCACACCCATTCCCAGCTCCACATTTAGTGATAACATACTGAATTGATGAATACCATTGAAACTGCCACAGTGGGAATGTGTATGCTATGGAAATCAGCAAATGCTACAAATTAGGACGCCCCACCCCACAAGATGGCTTTTGCCAGTTCCCCACTGCATAAGGGTCACCTGGAGTAAACCAACAACCTCATTTTTTAAAAAAGATTTTATTTTTTTGACACAGGGAGAGAGCACAATCGGGGAGTGGCAGGCAGAGGGAGAGGGCGAAGCAGGCTCCCCGCTAAGCAGGGAGCCTGATGCGGGGTTTGATCCCAACCCTGGGATCATGACCTGAGCCGAAGGCAGATGCTCAACCAACTGAGCCACCCAGGCGCCCTCAACCTCATTTGTTTTTAGTAAATAGAAGACTTTTAAGGATTTACTCAAGAAGTCAACCAATTAGATGAACTTAGGACTAGAACCCAATACTTTCACATCCCTTGTTTGATCCTCTTTCTGATATGCAGTAAGACATCATCCTAACCCTTGAATCCAGAATTGAAATTTATCAGTGACACTAATGAAGCTGTGCTAAACTTACTCAACCCCCATAGGCTTCAGTTTCCTTATCTAGAACATAAAGTTTTAGATTGGATTTCTAAAATTTTGTGGCTCTGACATTTCATAATAATTCCACAATTAGAATTAAGTCTAATAATGAGAAAAATATAAGATATATTACAGTTCTGTATGGTTGATTTCAGGAACCTAAGTGGGTCATTATTTCACCACACAGTACAGTTTTTTGATGATTAAGGTGACCAGATCTCCATCCCCAGAGAGGATAATGTTTCCTAGTTTACTCTGCTATTATTCACTAATAAGGAATTACATCTCTTTTAAACATGGAAGCCTGATCTGAGATGTTCAGAGATCTTGGTTAAGTGAATGTAGTGTTACTATACACTTTAGGTGGATGAGATCTGCTGTAGACCTTTCCTGTATCTCAGCAGATAAGGGGTGAGCACCTTTTCCAAAACAGTGCTGCTGCTGCTTCTTTTTTTAAATAGACTCCATGTGGAGCCCAGTGTGGGGCTTGAACTCATGACCCTCACATCAAGACCTGAGTTGAGATCAAGAGTCAGATGCTTAACTGACTGAGCTACCCAGGCACTGTCCCAAAACAGTGCTTCCAATCTTTATTCATTTTAATGGAGGTGGGGGAGTAATATTTTTGTAGTGGTTAAAAGCCCATAGCACCTGGATTAGAGTCCAAGTGCCATGCTTAACTATATATATGACCTTGGGCAAGATGTTCAACTGCTCTGTTCTTCAGTTTCTTCATCTAAAAAATGAGAATGACAGTAGTACATATTTCCATTCTCATCACAAGAAAAAAAATTGTAACTATATATGGTGACAGATATTAACTATACTTATTTTTTTTTTTTAAAGATTTTATTTATTTATTTGACAGAGAGAGATAGCGAGAGCAGGAACACAAGCAGGGGGAGTGGGAGAGGGAGAAGCAGGCTTCCCGCCGAGCAGGGAGCCCGATGTGGGACTCGATCCCAGGACCCTGGGATCATGACCTGAGCCGAAGGCAGACGTTTAACGACTGAGCCACCCAGGCGCCCTTAACTAGACTTATTGTAGTGATCATGTTGCAATATACACAAATATTAAATCATTATGTTGTTCACCTGCAACTAATGTTATTTCTTTTTTGTGTGTGTGTGTTTTGGGGTTAATACATTTTTTTAAAAATTAAATTTTTAATTCAATTCCAGTTAACATACAGTGTTATATTAGTTTTGGGTGTACAATATAGTGATTCAACAATTCCATACAACACCCTGTGCTCATCACAAGTGCTCTCCTTCATCCCCATCCTGTATTTCACCCATCCCCCCCACCCACCTCCCCTCTGGTAACCATCAGTTTGTTCTCAATATAATGTTATTTCAGTTATACCTCAAAAATAATAGCATATATTTCATTTTTTAAAAAGATTTCATTTATTCATTTGACAGAGAGCACAAGCAGGGGAAGTGGAGGCTGAGGGAGAGGGAGAAGCAGGCTCCCCACTGAGCAGGGAGCCTGATGTGGGGCTTGATCCCAGGACCCTGGGATCATGACCCTAGTCAAAGGCAGACGCTTAACCGACTGAGCCACTCAGGCGCCCCATAATAGCACATATTTCCATACTGAAGATCAAATGAGTTAATATTGCACATGCTTAGAACAGAATCTGGCATATAATTAATGCCATGTAAATGTGGGCTATTTTTATTGTTCTTGTTATGCAATCCCAGTTGACCTGGTCAGTTGTGAACCATTTGTTGGGACAGACCGTTTGCGCATAATAAATCCAGCAATCTTTCTTCATCTTGTTTTATGGCACTTCACTGCTCCTTGTCCCAATACGACCCAGATCTCAAACTCTATTGATAAGAGATAATATGATTTTAGATCTGTATTCATACAGAATTATTTCTGCACAAATCTTTGAACTGAAGTGATAACAAGTTAATTGAATGGAGTTGTATTTAGAAGAGTTGCACTTAGTAGCTCCTCAATAGAAGTGAGTGAATAAATGAGTTGGTATAATCTGTTTTTTCTGCTTAATAATTATCTTTTCTCTTTCCTCAGAGAGAATGTTATGAGTGGATCACCACATGTTCTCACCTCCTTTCTGGGATCAAAGGCAGAAAAATAAAGTTACTGACAAAGGAAGAAAAAGAACACCTATTTGGAGAAGAGGTATTTGCTGTGTGTTGGCCCTGATCATTATTCTGGTTCTTCCTGTATTTCACCGCCCCCCCCCCTTTTTTCAATAGGTAAGGATTCAGTGACTTTTTCCAATTCATATTCTGAGTCCTCATTTATTTACCCTACCTGAAGAGAATTTTGCCCCTGACCTAGAGCATTGGCAGCTCTTCTCCCTTCTTTTTTCTTTTTTTTTAAAGATTTTATTTATTTATTTGACAGAGGAGGACAGCGAGAGAGGGAACACAAGCAGGGGAAGTGGGGGAGGGAGAAGCAGGCTTCCCGCAGAGCAGGGGGCCCAGATGCGGGGCTCGTTCCCAGGACCCTGAGATCATGACCTGAGCCGAAAGCAGACGCTTAACCGACTGAGCCACCCAGGCGCCCCAGCTCTTCTCCCTTCTGAGGGAAAGAATCATCCATCTAAGCATCTCGTCTCACTTTCTTAGAGGATGATTTTGTTTCATCCTTCATAAAGGAAAGGATGGCTTTCAGAGGGGGAGCTGCCTGCCACTTCCTGAGGCATGTCCTTAGACTGGTCTGCTTCTGCGTACACTTCCTCCTCCCCTCCAAGCTCAGTCTTCCTGTTTAAGGTTATTTCTTCCTTTGAGCACCTAATCCCAGCCCACTGTCCTCTCTCTTTTGTATCTTCAATGTCTTCCTCTCTAGTAGTTCCATTGTGTCGATATATAAACAATCTATAAGCATGGCCATTGCTTTCATTCTAAAAGATCCCTTGAGCATGTCTTTTTCTCTACTACTTCATTCTCTCCTTCCTATCACAATCATTTCTCTTAAAATGCTGAAACTATTGCAAGGTACTGTAATGATTCCTTATTGTCAGATCCAAGGAACCCCAATGCCGTATTTAACTTGACTTCTCTGTAGCATTTGACCCTGTTGACTAGTCATTCACTCCTTTTGTAATCTCTCCTCACAAGACAAAAATTTTTTCTCCTACTTTTTTATTTCTTTTCACTCTCCTTTTGGTCTTCCTCCACTGCCTGTCTCTTAAATGTTGATATTCTTTTTTTTTTTTTTTTTTAAAGATTTTATTTATTTAACAGAGAGAGACATAGCGAGAGCAGGAACACAAGCAGGGGGAGTGGGAGAGGGAGAAGCAGGCTTCCCGCAGAGTGGGAAGCCCGATGTGGGACTCGATCCCAGGACCCTGGGATCATGACCTGAGCCGAAGGCAGACGCCTAACGACTGAGCCACCCAGGCGCCCAAATGTTGATATTCTGTCCTTGACTTGCTTTTACTTTTTATTCTACACCCCACACATGACTGTGCTAATCCAGTGGTATTAACTACCACTGTTTACCGAGGATCCCAAATTAATGAATATCCTGTGCTTCATGGCAATCACAAATGTTTAGTTTTACTTCAGTCTGTTTGAAGGAGTTGGTTTCCAGTAAAGACTGAAGAAGCCCGCATAGCTATCAGAGCTGTGAACTGTGGAGGAGAGATGTGATGGCGTCTCTGTCAGTGTTCTAGGGTCTGCCGGAGTGGTGGGGCAGGCGTGCTTCTACCTACACACATGTGGGACTTTTATCTTACATTTAAACACTGAAGAAACACCACCTTTCTAAATTATACATCTTTTACAAATGCTTATTTTTCTTTGCTGCCCAGATCTTGGCCAGAATTATTTTGAATTAATCACTGAATGATTTCATCAACATTAGAAGTCTTAAATTACATGTGGCACCTGGGTGGCTCTGTCGGTTAAGTGTCTGACTCTTGGTTTTGGCTCAGGTCATGATTTCAGGGTTGTGAGATGGAGCCCCACATCGGGCTCCATCCTGGGCATGGAGCTTGCTTAAGATTCTCTCTCTCCCTCTGCCCCCCACCCCATGAGCTCTCTCTCTCAAAAAAGAAAAAAAAAATTACCAGTATAGTTTTAGAAAATTAAGTACCACAGACATGATCTTGGCTACACAACAGATCTATGAAAAAATTAAATTAGAGAACTATACAGAATCATAGAAACTTAAGAACAGAAAGGATTTTTTTTTTTAAAGATTTTATTTATTTATTTGACAGAGAATGAGACTGTGTGAGAGGGAACACAAGCAGGGGGAGAGGGAGAGGGAGAAGCAGGCTTCCCATGGAGCAGGGAGCCCAATGTGGGGCTTGATCCCAGGACGCTGGGATCATGACCCGAGCCGAAGGCAGACGCTTAACCACTGAGCCACTCAGGCGCCCCAAGAACAGAAAGGATTTTAAGGGAGATTGAATTCAGCAAAACATCTGATGTGTGAATCAGATGTATAATACCCACCCTTGATCATTATGCCTATGTTTGAGTATCTGAAGTGGCAGAGACCTACTTTCAGAATTAGCCCATTTGTTTTGGTGACCACTGACTATTATAATGTTATTTTTTCTATTGAACTAGATGAAATATGTTTCCTTGTAACTTTTTCTACTCACTGGCCCTTGTTTAGACTTTCGGGTTGATATGAACAAGCCTGATTTGTCTTCCACATTATAGTATTTATAACATTCCATGTTTTAGTGTTTTCCAGCATTTGAAAATAGCTATATTCAACCTAAGTCTGTTTCTGAAATTTCTGTTATTTTCTATTAATCTATCTCTTCATGGGTCATCACCACAATATTTTAGTTTTTGAGGCACCATTTTGCATTTTCATATCTGGCTGGGCCAGCCCTCCTCACTGATCTTCTTCAGGGGTTTCATCCCTATGCTTGCTTATTTATTCTTCTATGTAACTGTAATCTACCTCTGGGAAAATATGAGTTTTAAAGACTGGGGTAATACTAAATTTATATATTAACTTAGAGCAGAGATAATTATGTTGTCAAGTTGTCCTATCCAAAAATATAGGATACCTACTCTAAATGCCTTTAAATAATGTTTTATGCTTTACTCATTTTGCACATTTCTTGTAAGGTTTATGCCTGAGTATTTCATTTTATTTTTTGCTATTTTATTTTTAAAAGGTTTTATTTATTTAAATAAGTAGTCTCTATAATCAACATGGGGCTCAAACTCACAGCCCCGAGACCAAGCCAGGCACCCCTATTTTTTGCTATTTTATTTTTAAAAGGTTTTATTTATTTAAATAAGTAGTCTCTATAATCAACATGGGGCTCAAACTCACAGCCCCGAGACCAAGCCAGGCACCCCTATTTTTTGCTATTTTAAATAGGATCTTCTTTACCATTGTATCTTCTAACTGGTAACTGTGTATATGTTATTGATTTATGTATTTTTATTTTATATTCTGTGACTTTACTAAATTATCTTATTGTTTTTAGTCATTTTTCAATAGATTCTTTTGGGTTCTCCAGATGTTTAATCAAATCATCTACAGATAGATAATTTTACCTCTTTCTTTCAATTATTATGCCTCTAATTTCTTTTTCTTGTCTAACTGCAATGACTAATTCTCCCAATTTGGTGTTAAATAGTAGTGGCAATATCAAGCATCCTCTTCTTATTTATGACTTTAGCAGGAATGCCTTTAGTGATTGGAGTTGATTTTTTGTTTAATTTCTTTATTGTTCCTTCAGATATCTCAGATCTACCCGAGGTCACTTTTCTTCTGCCTTAAGCTTTAAATTTTTCTTTAGTGAGGATTTACTGGAGGCAAACTTATTTTTTTTTTGTCTGAAAATGTCTTTATTTCACCCTCACTCTTAACAATTTTTGTGGGGTATACAATTCTAGGATGATACTATTTCCTCCCCGCCCATTGATGATACTATTTCTGCAGTTTTCTGGATTTTATTGTTACCAAACTGACAGTTGAGAATTCAGCTGTCAGTTCTTTGAAGTTAATCCCTCTCTTCTCTTTGGCTACTTTTAAGATCTTTATGTCTTTCTGTTGAATCACAGATCTGTACCTCTGAAACAAATAATGCAATATATGTTAAGAAAAAAAAAAAAAGAAGACGATAGTAGGAGGGGAAGAATGAAGGGGGGGAAATCGGAGGGGGAGACGAATCATAAGAGACGATGGACTCTGAAAAACAAACTGAGGGTTCTAGAGGGGAGAGGGGTGGGAGGATGGGTTAGCCTGGTGATGGGTAATAAAGAGGGCACGTTCTGCATGGAGCACTGGGTGTTATGCACAGACAATGAATCATGGAACACTACATCAAAAACTAATGATGTAATGTATGGTGATTAACATAACAATAAAAAGTAAAAAAAAGATCTTTATGTCTTTGGCATTTTGCAGTTTCACTCTGATATATGAGGGTGTGGAATTCCTTTTCTTTTTAAATTTTGCTGGGGATTCTTTTGGTTTCCTAAATCTTTGACTTGGTATCTTTCATTAGATATGGAAAATTCTGTTACCTCTTCAAATATTGTCTCTACTATGTTTGCTCTCTCCTTTCTTTCTGGAACTCTGAATGGATATATATTGAAATCTATCCCCATGTCTTTTAACCTTACTTCATATTTTTCTTTGCTTCTGCATTGCATCCTGAATAATTTCTTCTGGTTTACCTTCCTGTTCACTAATCTTCTATTAAACCTTTCTGTTCAGTTTTTAAATTTAATTGTTAAAGTTCTATTTGATTCTTTTTCAAATCTGATCATTCTTGTAATCTTTCTCTCTTTATTCATATTTTTAATCTCTTCTTTAAACAGGTTAAATATAACTTTGTAGTTATATTTTGATAATTCTAATATATATCTGTATAAGAATGTTAATTATAGGGCGCCTGGGTGGCTCAGTTGGTTAAGTGACTTGCCTTTGGCTCAGATTATGATCCCAGGGTCCTGGGATCGAGTCCCACATCGGGCTCCCCCTGCTCTGTGGGGAGCCTGCTTCTTCCTCTGCCTCTGCCCCTCCCCCCTGCTCATGTTCTCTTTCTGTCAAATAATTAAATAAATAAATAAAATCTTAAAAAAAAGAATGTTAATTATAAAACTGGACAGCTACATGCAAAAGAATGAGACTGGACCACTTTCTTACACCATACACAAAAATAAATTCAAAATGGATTAAAGACCTAAATGTGAGACCTGAAACCATAAAACTCCTAGCAGAGAGCACATGCAGTAATTTCTCCATCATCCACTGTAGCAACATTTTCATAGATACGTCTCCTAAGGCAAGGGAAACAAAAGCAACAATAAACTATTGGGACTACATCAAAATAAAAAGCTTCTGCACAGCAAGGGGAACAATCAACAAAACTAAATGAGAAGTACTGAATGGGAGAAGATATTTGCAAATGACATATCTGATAAAGGGTTAGTGTCCTAAATATATAAAGAACTATAATTCAATGCCAAAAAACCAAATAATCCAATTAGAAAATGGGCAGAAGACATAAACAGACATTTCTCCAAAGAAGACATCCAGATGTCCAACAGACACATGAAAAGATGCTCAACTTGCCTCATCATCAGGGAAATGCAAATCAAAACCACAATGGGATATCACTTCACACTTGTCAGAATGGCTAAAATAAAAAACACAAGGAACAAGAAGTGTTGGCAAGGATGTGGAGAAAAAGGAAATCTTGTGCCCTGCTAGTAGGAAGGCAAACTGGTGCAGCCACTGTGGAAAACAGTATGGAGGTTCCTCAAAAAGCAAGACTTAAGGTTCCTTAAAAACAAAACTACTATGTGATCCAGTATTCCTACTACTGGGTATTTAACCAAAGAATATGAAAACACTAACTCGAAAAGCTATATGAACCCCTATGTTTATTGCAGCATTATTTATAATAGCCAAACTATGGAAGCAGCCCAAGTGTCCATCGATAGATGAATGGATAAAGATGATGTACACACACACACACACACACACACACACACACACACACACAGAGGAATATTACTCAGCCATAAAAAAGAATGCAATCTTGCCATTTGCAACAACATGGATAAATCTAGAGAGTATAATGCTAAGTGAAATAAGCCAGTCAGAGAAGGACAAATACCACATGATTTCACTCTGACGTGAAATTTAAGAAACAAATGAACAAAGGAAAAAGAGATTAAAAAACATTGTTAATTATAGAGAACAAACTGATAGTTGTCAGAGGGGAGGTGGGTCAGTGGGGAATGGGTGAAATAGGTGAAGGGGATTAAGAGTACACTTCTCACGATGAGCACTGAGTAATGTATAGGATTGTTGAATCACTATATTGTAATATAACACTGTATGTTAATTATACTGGAATTAAATAAATAGATAAATAAAAAAGAATGCTAAATACAGCATTATTTATAGTAGCAAAATACAGATCTTCCTTGACTTATGTTGGGGTTATGTCCCAATAAACCCATTGTAAGTTGAAAATATTGTAAGTCGAAAATGTATTTAATACATTTAACTTACCCCACATCATAGCTTAGCCTGGCCTATCTTCAGCGTGCTTTGAACACTTACATTAGCCTACAGTTGGGTAAAATCATCTAACACAAAGACCATTTTATAAGAAAATGTTGAATATCTCATGTAATTTATTTTTTTGTTCATTTTAAAAATTTATTTATTTGAGGGGAGAGAGGCAGAGGGAGAGAATCTTTCAAACAGACTCACTGCTGAGTGTGGAGCCCGACCCCAAGACCCCTGAGGTCATGACCTAAGCGGAAACCAAGAGTCCATGCTCAACCAACTGAGTCACGCAGGTGCCGCTGAATAGCTCGTGTAATTTATTGAATACTGTATTGAAAGTGAAAAACAGAATGGTTGTAAGTGTATCAGTTGGTTACTCTTGTGATCATGAGGCTGACTAGAAGTTGTGGGTCACTGCCACTGCCCAGAATCATGAAAGAGAGTTGAACCACGTATTGTTCGGCTGGGAAAATATTAAAATTCAAAATTCAAATGACAGTTTCTACTGAATGTGGATCATTTTTGTACCATTGTAAAGTTGAAAAAATTTTAAGTCAAACCATCATAAGTCAGGGACCATCTGACTTACAGTTTATACCATAATTTATTTATGCATTTTCCTATTGTAGATATTGAACTTATTATTAGCTTGTTTTATACACGTCATTGCCATAAACTGAAGGACATTTTTCATTCAGTATTTGTGTAGACTCATTTGAGGTATTCAACATTGTTGAATCCTTCTTTCTCTTCTTTTGACTTTCCTGGTGGCTTTGTCAGACTTCTGACACAACTTCTGGCCTTCTGTGCAGACTTGTCTTTCTTCCCTAGTCTTGTATGCGACTAAGTTCCTGTCCTAAGCCCTCATCCTCCAGCAACTTCACAACTTCTCCTTTGGTGATATAATTTACTTTCTTGGCTTCAACTAAATGCAAATAACTGTTAAATGATTATCTTTAGCCCAAATGCCTCCATCTAAACTCTATATCTGTGTATTTAGCTACTTACTGAATATTTCCACTTAGATATATTAGTGGTACCTTAAAGTCACATAGCCTAGTCTGAACTCATCTATTTTCCCAAAGCTGCTTATGCAACTTTGTTCATTTTCTCTGTGAATGGCATTATCATCTATGTAGTGGCCTAAACCATTCACCAGGTATCATTCAAGATGCTTCCTTTCCCTAGGCATCCCATATCAATCTAATCACTCCAGCACTGAGTTAACTCCTAAATATCTCTTGAATCCTTCTCCTCCTCTTCATTCCTGCAACCCTATGTTGTTCATTCTCTACTCTTGTCTTTTCTTCTTCCCACTCTTCCTCCCTCTCTCCCTTCTTTCTCTTTAAATCTACTCTCCTGCTGCTAGAGTGATTGTTTTAAAATGCAAAACAGATCAATTTATTAGTACTTCATTGCCTTCAGGATAAAATCCAGTTTCCCTGGAATGACACTCTAGCCTTTCCTCTATGACTGTGCTCCTGTCCATCTGCCCCTAAGTTTCTGTCCTACTAACTACTTTTGTTCTCAAGAGCCAGTCATGCCCATGCATCATCCTTTGCCTAGAATCGTGCTTTTTTCCCTTACTCATCCTTCAAGAAGAAACTGAGACATTATGTCCTCCAGGAAACCTTCCTGACCAATCCTCTCTTTCCACTACCACATCCACTACCACATCCACTACCATAGATTAGGTGCTCCTACCATGTGACTATATGTAACCATAGCATTTTCTTGTCCACTAAATTGTTAAGCTTCTTAAGACAGAGGCTATTCTTTTTTTAAAATTTAAATTCAATTAATTAACTTACAATGTATTATTTGTTTCAGGGGTGCAGGTCTGTGATTCATCAGTTTATATAATACCCAATGCTCATTACAACACATACCCTCCCCAGTGTCCATCACCCAGTTACCCCATTCCCCTACTCCCCTCCCCTCCAGCAAACCTCAGTTTGTTTCCTATGATTAAGAGTCTCTTATGGTTTTTCTCCCTCTCTGGTTTCCTCTTGTTTCATTTTTTTCCTCTCTTCCCTGTGATCCTCTGCTTTGTTTCTTAAATTTCACATATCAGTGAGATCATATGATAATTGTCTTTCTCTGATTGACTTATTTCCCTTAGCATAATACCCTCTAGTTCCATCCATGTCATTGCAAATGGCAAGATTTCATTTTTGATGGCTGTGTAATATTCCACCACCTATCTATCTATCTATCTATCTATCTATCTATCTATCTATCTATCTATCTCATATATTCTTTATCCATTCATCTGTCAATGGACGTCTGGGTTCTTTCCATAGTTTGGCTATTGTGGACATTGCTGCTATAAACACTGGGGTGCAGGTGCCCCTTTAGATCACTAAATTACCACTAGATAATTTAGATCGTTATCTTTGGGGTAAATTCCCGTAGTGCAATTGCTGGGTCATAGGAGGACAGGGGCTATTCTTTTTTTTTTTCTTATTATTATGTTATGTTAATCACCATACATTACATCATTAGTTTTTGATGTAGTGTTCCATGATTCATTGTTTGCTTGTAACACCCAGTGCTCCATGCAGAACGTGCCCTCTTTAATATCCATCACCAGGCTAACCCATCCTCCCACCCTCCTCCCCTCCAGAACCCTCAGTTTGTTTTTCAGAGTCCATCGTCTCTCATGGTTCGTCTCCCCCTCCAATTTCCCCCCCCTTCATTCTTCCCCGCTACCTTCTTCTTCTTCTTTTTTTTTTTTTAACATATAATGTATTATTTGCTTCAGAGGTACATATCTGTGCAACAGTCTTGCACAATTCACAGCGCTCACCATAGCACATACCCTCCCCAATGTCTATCTCCCAGCCACCCCATCCCTCCCACCCCTCACCACTCCAGCAACCCTCAGTTTGTTTCCTGAGATTAAGAATTCCTCGTATCAGTGAGGTCATATGATACAGGACAGAGGCTATTCTTATTACCCTTTTTGTCATTATCCCTAGCAGAGTGTCCAGTTGCAAGATTAATGCTCATTAAATTTTTGAATGAACGATTAGTATATACTAAAAATTATTAATATACACTAAACTATAATTTTACTATTGTTTTATCTCACAGGATTTTATAAAAGAATTAATTGAACCTGACATAGACAGGCCTTCTAGAGAGGAGGAAGAAGAAAGTATGGAGGATAATTTTAAGATGCAAAGGGAAGAAGAGGAGGTAAGATGATTTAGTATTATATTTTCCTTTCCCTTTATATTTTTAAGGAATATATATATAGGTACTGAGGTGCCTGGATGGCTCAGTTGGTTAAGCATCTGACTCTTGATTTCAGCTCAGGTCATGATCTCAGGGTCATGAGATCAAGACCCATGTTGGGCTCCATGCTCAGTGCAATCTGCTTGAGATTCTCTCTCTCTCTCTCCTTCTCCCTCTGCCCCTCCCCTCACTCACATTCTCTAAATAAATAAATAAATAAATAAATAAATAAATAAATAAATAAAATAAAAGAATATATATAGGTACTATTGAAAATAGAAATAGATCATCTGGAATAAACACCCTAGCTCCCTTCCTTTCTTCATATAGATTTAACCATACCTGAGACACCCTTGTCTCTTTATTTTCCAAGGTAGGGGTGTCCTTTTCCTTTTCAAAATCTAGTCACTTCCCATCAGCCTCATTCACCCCTGTACTCCTATTACCTACACAATCTACCTCTCATCCTGATGCTGTTTCTTTGTCCTTTCATTACCAGATTTTTCAAATAGTAATTTAAACTCTATGTGTTTACTTTTTCTTTTTCTTTTTTTTAAGTAGGCTCCAACATGGGGCTTGAACTCATGACTCTGAGATGAAGACCTGAGCTGAGATCAAGAGTCAGATGCTCAACTGTCTGAGCCACCCAGGCGCCCCTGTGTCCACTTCTTTAGTTCCCATTCTGGGCTACCTTTCCCCTCCTCCCAGACCCATCTCCACATCTCCTTTTTCCTTACCTTGTCTGTATGCCTGCGGGGCATTCGTAGTAATAAAACCCTTCCTGGGGTACTTATAATAATAATAATAACAATCCTAAAAATACAATGATAACTACCAGTAACTGAGTCCCTACTGTGAGCTACATGTTCTGCATGTGTTACCTCTCATCTATACCACACAACTTCAAGGTAAAAATTACTGCCCCATTTTACAGATAAGAAAACTGAAGCTCAGAAAGATCGACTTGACTTACCCTAAGTCAGAAAGCTGTGAGTGGCAGAACCAGTGTTCAAACCTAGATTAGTCTGGCATAAGAACCCTTGCTGATTCCTGGATTGACCACTACTGTCCTTGGCTCTCAGAACTCAAGATCACCTAACACTCTCTAGACTGTCTTAACTTCCTTCCCTGATGTTTCTTGTCTGTGAATAGTTTAAATGTTGGCATGATCCCAGGCTGTGACCTAGGTCCTCTAGACCCACTGTACATACTAGACAGCAGAAGAAAAATGTACGACAGCTAAGCTGCTTTTCGCCAGCATTTTCTGTTTTATTTCGGTACAGTGCTTGGCATATAGAAGGCACAAAATAAATGGGAAACAGTGTTATTTGGACACTAAATTCCATCGTACCTTTTAAATGTGTAATGCATTCCCTCTTTTCCTCGTCTTGTGGCCTTAGTTCTGGCCCTTTCCTCTCTATGTTACAAAGTCTTGTTCGGTCTTCAGATATCACTTTCTATGTAAAAACTTCCCTGAATGTCGAGGCAGAATTCAGAGCCCTTTTCTGGGTGCACGGAGCTTTTGGAACACACCTCTTTGCCAACATCAATCATGCATACCATAATTATTTTCTGGTCCATCTCTCCTACTGTGCTGTGAATTCCTGGGTCTAGAAGACATCCTTCTTGTTTCTCTCACTGTTGTTTACCCTGGTCTCCACTTCCCCATCCCCACTGATTTCTCACACATTGTTTGCTGTAAGTCTTCGAAAATGCTTGTTGAATGACTAATGCAAATTGAAGATTAAAGCTTCAGACATTGCTCCGGGGAACTTGCCATGCCTCTGGGTCACACACCAGCTCCGCTAACAGGTCCTTTGTGTTTCTGTGCCCTAGAAGCCTTCAACATCCAAGGAGGAGGAAAAACTCATTAGAATAATTGAAAAAGATGAAAATATTCATTCCAAACCTCTATTTGAAGCAAATATATTCTCTTCCTGGGTATGTATCTGAAACACAAGTAGGAAATTCAAAACCAGAGAAAAAAGCTAAGAAATTTAACATAATGTAAAAATGATATGGATTTAACATAACTTTTAGCTCCAGGAGGGCCAGGAGCTCCTACATAATGCATTTTTCAGATTTTTTTTTTTCTTCCCAGTATCATCTCTGGAAAACTCTTGTTTTTTACCTTAACTTTATAAAAAATGTCTCATTCTCTTCTTTAAACCTCATTTTAAAATTAGTATTCATTGCCTTCCTTAATTTAACAATATCTCGGTCAAAATTTGACCTATTTTTTAAATAAATTCATTCAGCAGACTCTATTGAGAACTGTAATAAGCATATACCTCTGACCACAAGAATTATTGGGAAATTGGAAACCTTTAGAAACTCAGCAGGAAAACCGATTTAAAATTCTTCCATAGAAAGTTCTAGGACTATGGTAGACTTAAGTCAGTCCTAGATTTCAGTTCTAGATTGATATGCATCTCTATAAAGGATGTCATGCCTTAATCCCATTAATCCCCTGAAATGGTATATAGCATTTTGTGTGTATGTTTATACTGTGCGTTTCCTGGGGGGGGGGGTGGTGGTGCCAGAAATCCATAGACTTAGTCCAGTTTCTCAGCCCCAAAGTTAAGAACCATGTCACTGTTAGAGATCTGATCCTCCTGAGTAGGCAGTGGCGTGTGGAGGGGTGGGAGCCGTAAGGAGGGTGGCGGTGGACCACAGAAGGATGACTGAGGCAGAGGTGTGGCCCAAAGGAGACGCAGGTTGTAGGGATGTGTGTCTAGGGAGCTGCAAACTGGAGTAAGAGTAGCGCTGAGAGGGGCTGCAATCACTTTCTCCCCAAGTAATGCCTTTTCAATAAGTTTTTCATATAGTATATTAATCTGTCAGTCTTTAAGACTGGATGAGGCAAGGAGGTAAGAGTAAGCAGGGCCATGAGCCATGTAAGGAAAAGGGAAATAAAGGGTAGCACCGTTTAATCTGCTTGATGGCCCCTAATCCTACCCAAGGCCTTCCTGCTTCAGCGTTTCTCCCCTGCTGTGCCATCCAGGCAAGGAGTCAGGGTCAGACCTCCCCGATGATCCTCAAGCCAGGCAGGAAGCTGGCAGGAAAACAGCCTGTAACCGGTGTGTGTGTGTGGGGTGGGCGGGGCGGGGGGGGGCTTTTTTTTTTATTCTTATGTTAATCCCCATACATTACATCATT